AAACAGCAACCATTTGCAAAGATGCTTGCATGGATAATATTCAAGCAGATAAAAATCAGGACAATTGAGAAGTACAACTCCCAGAATGCAACTGTTCACATGATCTGTTGGCCTCTAGACTTACATGCAGCTTCCAAGACTGGACTGGGAGTGTCATCTGATGGAGCAAGCAATTTGGCCCCACTCCCTGCTGCCACATGCAGCTCCCAGGACTTGGCTGGGAGAAGCAGGGAGCCCTGGGTGATGGAACTATGCCAGCTCAGCCCCACTCCCTTCCGCCCTGGCTGAGTCGTGGGAGCTCATGAAAAGACAGGGAGCAGGACCAGGCCACTGGCTCCATTGAAAGGGGCTCTCCCTAGTGGTACATGGCTTTGGCTGAATCCCAGGAGCTGCATATGAGCTGCAGGGAGGTGCACACAATGGAGCCATGCCAGCCTGGCCTTACTCCCTGCCACCCTGTGCAACTCCCAGGTCTTGGCTGGAGCCATGTGCCACTCGGGGGCTCCACCTGCTGCAGGTCATGAGCACCCCAAGGGCTCTCCACCTGCTGCTGCAGTTGCCACTGGCTGGGGCAGCACCATGGGGAGAGGGGCACATGGAGGGGTCCCCCACACACATGCCTACACCTTACCACACACATACCCACACCCACACCCTCCCCCACACTGCTCACACATGTACCCCAACCCCAACCTACACATTCCTCCACACACAATATACAAGAGTAAGACTTTATTTTGAGATATGCAATTGCCTCTGTAAACACTACGCAAACACACATATGTCAGGGAAAAATATATTTTTAATAAAATTAAAGTATTTTTAATAGATGTTTGATTTTCAGTATGGTTAGGGACAAACATTCAAAAAGCCTGAACCTGAATTGATTCAATCTTTGCAGGTTAATCTAACCTGGCTAGGCTGAACCAGTTTGTAACCATACAGACATCCTCTCTGGAATGAAGAAATGCAGGCACATGCCTACAGTGGCTCAGGCTAGAAGTTAGGGAGTGCTAGAGCAGCCCTCCCTTCCCTTCCACAGTACTGAGCTGAGGAAGTGCATGGCGAGGCCCTGGCAGGATGCTCTGATTAAGGAGGGGTTCTCCTCCTCCTCGCTGCTCCTGACCAGCCCAGCAGGGAGCTGAGTGATAACACAGCATTTATCAGCTCATCAAGAAAACAAAAGCCTCTCTCATTAGTTAGACACAGTTCTTTGGATGAGTCTGATATTTTTTATTAGACCAACTTAAATAGTTGGAAAATAATTTTAAGCAAGCTTTTGGGTTAAAAAACCCTTTGTCAGGCTACACCCCTCTCTCAAAAGTTCAAGCTCTTCAAACAACCATTTCCAAGAAGGGGAGGGACATTACCAGCTGACCTTTTGATTAGTTCTAAAAAGCCCTAAGGGGACACTATCCTGTCTGCCTTTCCCAAATACCTCTCAGCATTAGTTAGCTACCACAAGCTGGCTACAGTCTATGCTGTGGAATAGGGGAGTAGGCAATCCCTGCTTGAGCAGGGAGTGGGGGGGGAGGGAGAGGACATGGGGGAAGCCAGGCAGATGCTGCTGTGCCTGCAGTCTCTGCTGGAGCTCCAGTCAGAGCACAGGGGTGGGGCCAGCCCTGCTAGGGAGAACAGAGCCCCACCCACAGCTGCAAAGTATCTGGGATGCTGGGGGACTCTGGTTTAAGTTAAACCAGGAAGGAGTCTGAAACAGATATTGCATAAACCAGTTTGACCTAAATCAGTTAAGTCTGATATTATATCTGATATTACATTCAACCAGGTTTATCTTAAACCAGTTTCAGGAATTTTGAACTTAAGTTCTGTTACAGGTTTAAACCAGTTTCTGATCACTTAAACCAGTTTGTGTAATGTCTGCCCCTAGCCTATATGATTTGGGGGTTTTTTTCCAGTTCCAAGATTGCAAACCCCACTCACAAAAGGAGCACTTCTATGGGCAAAGAGAGGGACTTCCAGTAGCAAAGGTAAGGGGTTGGTACAGGACTTCTGGTCTCAAGATGGCAATCAGGGGGTGGGGTACCTGTTAAGGGGCAGGACTACCCTTGCAGTCCTTGACAGCTCTCCAAATCTCATTAAATGGCCCTGCAGCCAAAATAATTGCCCATTCTTGCTCTATAGACATGTGACATGTTTTACACAGCCAAAAATATTAATTTGTTTGACAGTTTCACAGAAAGGTGAAGACAAATAAAATATCACTGCAGAAGCAGAGCAGGTTATTTCTTTTCTAAAGAAAAAACCTACGGGGGGAAAAAAACTTCATGTTTAGTTCCCCTCCTTTAGGAATCAAGGGTGAAATTCAGGCAAAGTTAAAAGCATACTCCACCACGTCTATGTAATCTATCCAATGGTTATCACTAGGGATTTTTTCTTCTATTCTTCCAGTGAGCAGAAGTGGACAGCACCATGAGACATGTATTGGCGAGATCAACCAGTGGCTTCAGAGCTGGTGTTATCAGGCGGGCCTTGGGTTCTTGGACCATAAGCCACATTTTCACACAGAAGACATGCTTGGGACGGGCTTCATCATTCCCTGAAAGGTAAGCATATTTTTTCTTCCAGGCTGGCTGATTTCATACGGTAAGCTTTAAACTAGGTTTGCTGGGGGACAGGGACACAGAGGAACATGAGGACACTTCGCTGTCAAGCCAGGTGACATGCACAAGTAGTACTCAGGTAAGTGACAGGGGCCAGAGCAGGCTTAGGAACAAGGGGGCGGCACATGCACCCACAGGAGGCCTCAAATGCCTCTACACAAATGCTCAAAACATGGGGAATAAGCAAGACGAACGCCCTCCTGCTAGCTAGCAAAAACCCAGACCTAGTGGGGCTCACTGAAACCTGGTATGATTCTACCCACAACTGGGTAGTGGACATTGAGGGCTACAGGCTGTACAGGTGGGACAGAGCAGGTCAGCCTCCTCTCAGTCCATGGATCAGATCCTCAAAGAATTCATTTCTAAGCACTTGGAGGAGAAGAAGGTGATTAAGAACAGTCAGCATGGATTCACCAAGGATAAGTAATGCCTGGTCAACCTGATTGCTTTCTATGATGAGATGACTGGCTCTGTGGATCCAGGGAGAGCAGTGGACATGATATCCCTTGACTTTAGCAAGGCTTTTGATACAGTCTTCAACAACATTCTTGCAACCAAGCTACAAAAGTATGAGTTGGATGAATGGACTGGAATGGACTAACAAAATTAGTTGTTTTCCAAAAGTAAGGGTTTACTCAAAATATACTTGTAAGGAGTGCTTACCCAGAAGATCTTCAGTCACTAGTGCCAGTTTTAAACATAGGAATCATAGGAAAGTAGGGCTGGATGATCATTTGATCTTCCTTGTGAGATACTTTAATCAAGCGCCCTATTCAAGGAAGAGTTATCGCTGAGTAAATAATTCCAACCAAGTCTCTGTCTAACCTGTTCTTAAAAACTTCCAGAGATGGAGATTCCACAATTTATCTAGCCATCCTGTCCCAATGCTTAACCACCCTCCTAGTTAGAAAGTTCTTTTTAACTTCCAATGTAAATTTCCTCTTGCTGTCTGAAGCCATTGCTTCTAGTCCTGTGGTCACAACAAATATTCTATCACTCTTCAGGCATTTGAAGACTGCTATTAAATTCCTCCTCAGTTTTCTCTTTTTCAGACTAAACAATCCCAATTCTTTCCACCTCTCCTTATAAAATCATGCTTCCCAGAATTCTAACCAGTTTTGCCATTCTTCACAGGACTCCTTCTAATTTGTCCACATCCTTCTTGAAGTGCAGGGCCTAAAACTGGACACAATATTGCAATCAGGCCTTATCACTGCTAAATAGAGCAGAAGAATCACTTCCCATGATTTGCAAGCAATTAATAGGAGTATTGCTACAGGTCAGTAAGCTCCTGCCTTGTTTAGCAATAAGAGCACACTGTTGGTTTATAGTCCACTGTAATCCCACACTTCATCTCTGAAATACTGCAGGCTATCCTTTCTTTCCTTCATCTGTATTTGTGCATAAAGTTATTCTGTTCCAAATGCAGCAGTATCTACTTGTCTTTGCTGAATTTCATCTTATTGATTTTAGACCATTCCTCCAGTTTTCAAAGAGATTCTGGATCCCAGTTCTACCCTCCAGAGTAGAATGTTTGTAGTTCCACCCAAATAGGTGTCACCTGCAAATTTGCAAAGTGTGTGCTCAATCCCATTATCCAAGTCATTAAATTAAACCAGGGGTGGGCAAAATATGGCCCGTGGGCTGAATCCAAGCTGCCAGGCCATTCTATGTGGCCCACAGTGCCCCTAAAAATTTAGAAAATTAATATTTATTTGCTCCCGTCTGCCTGTCAAAGACAACAGGAGCCAGGGGCAGTAGGACCCAGAGGGAGACAGAAGCAGGAGGCAGGAGCGCAGCCCCACCCACCCTCAGCTATTTCCCTGCTTCCTGCCCCCACCCTGGCTCCATTGCCCCATGGCTCCTGACTGCATCATCAGACCAGGGGCACAGGCCATGGGGTGTGCATGTGCATGTGTCCCATACATGCACCCCACCATGCACATGCACCCACACCCTTTCACACACTCCAGCCACCCTGCCACCCCATACCCATACACACACCCACATGCTCCCTCACCCCACATATCCACACAGCCACAGCTCCCAACAAACTTATACCCACCCCCTCACAATATGCAAGAGTAAGATTTCATTTTAAGCTATTGTGCAACCACTTCTATGTGCACTGTACAAACACGTGTAAATCAGGACAAAAATATTTTTTGAAATAAATTAATGAATGTTGTAGATGTTTGCTCTTTAGAATATAATTTGGTATTTTTCTGGTTCCAAGATGGCAAAAACCCTTGCTGAAAGAAGTACTTCCAGAGGCAAGGGGAGGGACTTCTGCTGGTAAAGTTCAGGGGTTAGGGGATGGGACTTTTGGTCACAAGATGATGACTAGGGGGAAGGGCACCTGTCGGGGGGTGGGGCTACCCATGCAGCCCTCGACAGTTTGCCAAAACTCAGTAAGTGGTCCTCCACCCAAAACAATTACCCGCCCCTGAATTAAACAATACTGAACCCTGGACAGATCCCTAGGGAAACCCACTCAATACCTCTTCCCAAGTAGACACTGAACCTGAATACTGAAAAAACTGAAACATGAAATCATAGGTCTTTTTAGGAAATCTATCAAAATGGATATGCTGCCTTCTCTGTGATGAAAAAAACAGATGTAATGCCTATATTTTAGGAAGTGGGGAAAGGGATCCAGGAAGCCACAAGCTTATTAGAATGAACTCAATAGTATGTAAAGCTTTAGAACATTTTTTTAAGGATAAAATAATTAAAGACATGGATGTAAATGGAAACTTAGATAAAATGTCACATAGATTTACCAAAGTTAAATTGTGCCAGCTTTACCTGATATTTATTTCACTACAGCATTTGTTATGTTGTCATGTTGGAAATTATTCTTTAAGATGGAGTAAATTTAGTAGAAAAAAATAGAAGGCTTGTAGAGCATACATGTCAAAAGACAGCATTGAAAACATGGAGACAGATTACCAGTGGCATTCTTAGGGACTGGTAATTCTTAGTATGTTTTTAAAAATAAGGAAGTTTTAATCTCCTATTTTGTTCATTCCTTTTTTCTATTATTTTGTAATTCCACAGCATAAGACTAGGACTGCAAGTTACATTTTAGAGCTGTCTCCCATGTGGAGATCCCACCCTGACCTTGTATTTCTTAAAGATGCATTGAAACATGGAGAATTACAGACATCAAACATATGGTATAGATAAAGAGGAGGGCACACAAAGCAGTCCCAGCTTTTTCCTACATAACCATAAAAATCAGGAGATATTTTGCTATAGCTGTCACTGAGAAATGAATATTTTCATCACTGGCTGCTCAAGAGCCAAGCCTAATCAAAGCCATACATTGTAAGCTTCATTCTGCATAACGAAAACCTTGTTCTCATCACATGCTGCAGCCATGCCCAGCTGAAAACTACAGTGGGTGGAGAAAGTTTTGGCTAATGTTTAATATAATGGAAACAACAATAGAAACATTATGCACTGTAGTTATTAAGTTCTTTAGCCAGGAGACAAATCCTATGATTATGAAACCCAGGAACAAAGAAAAATGGACATTTGGGCTGCTCAGATCAGCAAAAAAACTACACTGGAGCTATACTTCTGTTGTATCACCATCCATGTAGGAAAGAACTGCCAAATCTTCAGCAATTATAAACTCTGTAGCTCCGTTCTGAAGATGGGTAGATTCTGAGAGATGGAGAAATGAGGTAACAAATTTACTCTTCTGACAATTAATGTAAACAGCTGAAAACCTACTTCAGATCCAACATGGTGTTTGAAATAGCATCCTTCTTCATTTTAACTTAATCCATTTTCAGCATGGGTTTATTTGCACTGACTGCCCATACTTCTTATCAGCTCTAGGTGTATTTTTCTAGTATGGGCACTGATAAAGCAATGTGAACACCTTTATGTTCAGGGAAACACTGTTACGCTAATGCACATGAAAACTATACAGGTGAAAACAAGAATAGGCTAAATGACAAGGTTAAATTTCCTGTAACCACAACACTTAATATCATGAAGGAATAATAGAAAAGCCCTAATTTTGATAAAAATTGTTTAGATAAACCATTTACCTGCTTACTGTGACTGGGGACAGTCTTTTCCTATAATCTGCACTGGACTGTTGTGCTATGTCTATGGCTAAGCCTACTGTGAGGACTACATTACAGCTAATACCATCCCAAATAGATTTTTGTGTAGCCATTACCATCTTCAAAATACTTGAAAAATATTATGGTTTTAGCACCAAATTCCTACAGTAATATAAATATTCCCATTATAAAATGAAGAAATTAAAGCTACAGAGAGCTATTTTAAGGGCTGGTCAATATTACTTCTTCCAGAAAAAACAGTGCATAGTTTCTAGGGCGTGTGAAAATTTCATGCCCACCATACTCACCATCTGGACACAGCTATGCCAAAAAACAAGGAGTTCTGTACATTTGTCTCCATCATTCAGGGAAGTAGCATAGGTAGGTCAAAAGAAAAACACTTCTGTTATCAAACATGTCCACTGGGAGCTCTGACACTGGCTAAAGATAGAAATTACACATAACTGACAGGAAACTGGTCTAAACCTGTAACACAACAGAAGTTCAGTGCACAAAGACTGATATATAAATGGTGGAACCCAGTCTAAGGTAGACCTGGATGGATGTAGTAGTAAAATTAACTGATTTAAGTTAAACCAGTCTATCAAACTTCAGTACCAGATCTCATCCCAAATCAAGATAGGTTGCAGCCCCTTGGCATCCCAGGATGCTTTCTGGGCTCCCACCCCAAAGTTCACAGGGCGAATGGGCTGTCACAGAACTGAGGCAGCAAATCCTCTGCTCCCCAGCTCAGCCACAGGCAGAATGGGGGGCAGGTGAAGGGAAAAATGGAGCCCCCCACTCCAGCCCAAGTCCCCGCCACAGCTGGGGTCTACACAGTGGGGGCCAGGCCTGCTCAGCCAGGCTGCAGGGCCACTTGCCAAAACTCTACCCCCTGCCTCTCAGCTGTGAAGGGTGGGTGGGCAGCAGAGTTACAGAGCACCCAGCCCAGCCCACCCTGCCAGCCCCTCAGCTGTGGTCTGCCCAGTAGGACTGGGCCTGTGTAGTGGAGGCATCTGCTCTCCCACTGCCTGCTCCAGCCACTGCTTGATGCTTCTGAAAGGCTCTTGCCTGCACCTGTCAACAGGTGTGACAAGAGGCCCCCCACCTGTGCTGGCTGGCTCATATGGGGAAGACCAAGGCTAGGGACTCATGGTGGGGCATCTGCTCTCCCAGCAGAGCACCATATCCAGTAAAAAAAACCCTGAGCCATGATCCCCAGAGTCTGGGGGTGAGGGAGCTACACACACCCTTGAGACTTACGGATTGTGGCAACTGAGATCCCCAGGGTCTGGGGATTTCATGCACCCTGGAGTCCTAGGGATCATGGCAGTCACAATCCCTAGGGCTCAGGGTTTTTTTTTACTGGGCATTGTGCACTGGTGGGGGAGCATATACTCCCTCTGCCTAGATCCAGCCCCAGCCCCACTCCCTTCATGCACAAGCTAACAAGCATAGGTGGGGGGCCTGCCTGGCTGCTGCTGAAAGCTGGCTGCTTGTAGGGAGCAGTAGGGCTGGAAAGAGGGCCACACTGGCCAACCAGGGTTGGCCTGGCTTCTGGGAAGCTTGCTTGAGTATCCCCAGCCTGCTGGCCTCGGCCAGTACTGGCACCCTGCTTTCCCCCACCATGGAAGGGGAATGTCTGTTTTGTTCTCTCCCAAGCTAATGTAGGGCACTTAAAGTAAAGTGCAAAACCTAGAGTGCTTCCACCTTGGGCTTTTTGAACCTCTGTACTTGGCCTAGATAGCTAAGCTGGCACAGGCCTGATGGCAGTAGCCCCATAGAGTAGACCAACGGTTTACAACCTTTTCAAATTCCAGGCACCCACCCATCACCTTTCGGAATTTAGTGGCATCCTGTTTAAAAAGCTTCATTCATTCGACTACAGCAAAATAGAGCAATTCTTCTGTGACAAAACTCAGAGGGCATCTATACATGTGTTCTGGGGTTCAGGGGGAGGGAGGGTAAAGATGTTTTAATTAAAGCAGCTCTCAGAGTCTCTCTAATTAGAGTGCCCACAACATCATGTATATTCAGCATCCTGTACTTCAAAATGGCTACGGGGGCACTTTAACTAAAGTTTGTTTGACACCCTTTAAAGTGCCCCCACTGCCATTTTGAAGCACAGGAAGCTGAATGTGCACGATGCAGAGGCTGCTGGAGTGCGCTAATTAACATACTTCAGATGACTCACAGCAGACTTGATTGAGTCTTCTTCAATGTGTGCTAAGTAGCACACATTGGAGCAGAACTCCATCACACGTATAGATGCCCAGAAAGACCACAACAGGTCAAAATCTTCTCAACAGTATGGATTCCTATTAGCAATATCTCAGTTTATCTTGAGAATTATATGTAGATGTTTGCACCACTTATGGTGCTGGTATTGTGTGGCACCCCTAAAATGACTTCACAGCATCCAAGGGTGCTTCAGTGCCCTGGTTGAGAATTACCAATATAAGCAAACCCAGAGGCTTTAGTATTTTTTATAGTTTGAGAGTCAAAAAGAATTTATAATCTAGTGTGATGCATTTTCTGGTCCTTGGTGGCATGGTGGCAAGAAGAACCTAAGCACTTTTGTTTCTCAAGACAAATATTTGAGAAATCCTGACTTCAGCCAGGATTGAGAACAACTACCTGGAGAACTGATCCTTTAGCCAGACTCTGCTAAAAATAAGCGCTACCCAAAACAGTTAGGAAAAGATTGGTTAAAACTTCTTGTTACCTATTCTTATGTTAAAGTAGCCACCCACAACTGCATGACATGTATAAGTCATCTACTGTACTTCAGTTAGCAGCAACATTCTTTTAAATGACTGGTTTAGCCAAGTCACAGGCTTGATCCTACTTAGCGTAGGAGCTGTTTTGCAAGATAAGCATGTTGTACCCCATATAAGAGATTTGCAGCACATAGCCTGAAACTTACTTTTTACTTCACATGACCATGCGACTCCTTAAACTTTTCCTTCTTAACTAAGCAAGGAATGTGTTTCCTTCCTTCTTCCCCACCAACAAAATTATGCTAAGCTCATCAATAAAAAGAGCCTGGTATCATCAGTTCTATGTCCTGTTGAAGAAGAAATTCAGAACTTTTTAGGATTGGGCAATCCCAAATGCAACACGTTTATGCTTATTGTTATGTAATCAGAGGGATAGAATGGGCACTTTTACACAGGCAAGTCAAAATGACCTTAAAAAGGAGGCACACTTATAATCATTTTAAGGCCCAAGAAAGAAGCCCTAGTGAGTGGGAATGGAGATCATTGTATTACGGATGATTACAGAAACCCAGATCCTACTGTGTTGCTATAGCAAGCTCATGGGTCCACCCTGGTTACCTGATGCCCCCTCAGGCACTCTCTAGCCCTCCCTCA